ATTGCGTGAAAAGGGGAAGGGGAGAAGCCCCCACTGCCAGGGACAGGAGTTCCACAAGGTGTGCCTGATGGGGTGTGCGCTTTAATGACAGATGAGGGTGTAGGTGTAGCATGACCAGTGGGAGTCTGTGGTCCTGCTTTGATTACAGATGGGGATGGAGCAGGTGAGGGAGAGGGGGCGTTGAGGTTGTGAGAGGGCACCATTCCTGGGAAAACTGGCGTGATGGGGGTAGTGGGAGGAGCAGGAGAGGCCTGGTTTGGGACTGGTGTGGACCCATGAGGAATGAGGAGGGGCCCGCTGTTAATTCCAGGTGTGGTGTTCTGTGGATTGCCTGGTTTATTGTAACCTGTAAAGAAGGAGATTATAGTTAGCTAAATGTGCAAACTAATGACTACTATTATCTGACACGCATGGACTTAAATAGAAAAAATGTTGCATTTTATTTATTTTTTTTAATGTTTTTTATTAGTAATACTGTTTACAAACATATTTTACTCCAGGATGTCGGCAGGAACGCCCAGCAAAGAGCCAATAAACTTGCATATAGAGCATTCATACATGCAGCTCATTAAATTGAAATTTAAAACAATTTTCAAGATCAAAATATGTCTTCTTTTTACCTTTGGGGAAAGGTTTATATAACACACTGGGACATGCTAAAATTGTTTTTATCTGAACATTCTGGCTATAATAAATCTTTGCATTTAAGATCACAAATCTCCCCAAAGGCCTTCAAAAGATGTATTTCAATTGTGAAAAGTGATAAGACGCTGCATTTGGAAAACAAGTCATCCCAAGCGATGCGTGTTAAATGCCAGCACAAAGCATGAATCCAGAAAGAAAACGAGTGACATTAGTTTAAAGTTATTCCCAGTCTAGTCAACCCAAATCCCAACCCCACAAGTGATCAAAAACATACATCTACACTGACTGACCAGAAAACCAAAATATCTACAAGAGAAAAAAAACAGTAGAAAAATCACTGATTTGTTTTTATTGAAACTACTTCTGATTTGTCTGGTACATGTGCTGGGTGCTTTGTAGTGTTGTACTGTGCTACTGCATCACTTGCACTGAAAGGTAATTTGGTACTTTTTCAGTTTAGTCCTCCACATTTATTATAAGAAGAATTATCAAGTTAAATGCATCCGAAATGCTGTAATACTGGAAGTGAATGGGAAAAACGACAATAAAATGTTCTCTGACTAACCTAAATGAGCGGTTTAAATTAAATTCACAGTGGACTTTATTTCTGGTCACTCAGTGTTCCCAAGAGAAGTGGGAAAGACATCTTTACCTGATAAAGCCATTAAACTGGAGAAGCACAGGTAAGCAGCATGCCAGTGTGTTAGGCAGCAAGCTTCAACGAGTGTCTATTTGCTCTCACACTCACACGTACATGGTTGCTGTCATTCGATCATACCTGCTACTTTGTGGGTGGAGTTGTAGGGGGGTGGGGGTACGTTGGCTGTTATAACCCCTCCCATAGAAACAAGGCCTGCGTTGTTGTATGCACCTAAGCAGCAGTTGTAAATATTAAGCGTGTCCACCACACATTCATACACATAAAAGAATCACACACCCCACTACTTACTGCACCCAAACCAATCCCAGATGGCAATAAGAAAACATGGTTAAGTGCACCTCTTTAGGCATCAGTATTAATTGAATTGTCTCAGAGCTTGGTATCCACCTTTTCAATAACTGATAGGTTGTATAGGGAAAGGCAAAGGAAACCAGAGGTGGGAGTGTGCTGCTTCTGTGGTGTTTCTTACTTGGTGCAATGGTGGCGTGGGGTCGGCACGGTGGTATTGGGTAAGGAACAGGTCGATGAGGATTGTAGGTTGAGGGGAACTTAAAAAAAGATATAAAGCACAAAGATATAAAACACTTAGGTGATCAGCAAGTTCTGTATAACTGGAATACATAAAGTCAGAATGTGAGGAAGAATCAAGGAAAATAAGAAAAAACATCCTTTGTATGATCAATGGTTAACAAGTGAAGCAAATTATTTTTTATAACATCATTATAGTCTGTGTTTGACGTTCATGCTTACAGGTTTGAATGGTCCTATAATTCGGGAAGCAATTCCTTTCCCCTCCATATTGTTAGAGGGGTCTTCTTTCTTCTCGCCTTCCTTTTTTACCGGTGGGTTTCCCTGTTACCATAAAACAAAATTATATTATTTCTAATGACTAGGCCCATTTTGTTGTTTACAATTTATATCAAAAAATCTATTTTTATTTGCAATGTTAGTTGTATGTAAAGTCTGTTAGTTCAGAACTTGGGTATCCTTCAACAAACCTCATACTTACAGGAAATGACCCAGTGACCAAGCTGGGTTTGCCTTTAGGATATGGATTTCCTGGTATTATTCCACAGGAGGAGATCATTGCTATGGGAGCCTTGCAGCCAACCTTACAGACCTAATAAGAGAGAAATATTATTAATTTAAAGGTTGTGTGTGTGTGTGTGTACATTAAAATATGCAAACTAATGGAAAATAACACAATAACACTCTTAGCTTAAAAGTTTATCTTTAGTTTTTTTTATTACATGAATGACTTCTTCCTAAACAACAGCCAACAGTTTATCATCTCCTGATTTTTTTAAAGTTGAACTTGCCTGTTCCAGGATCCTGCGGGCACGCTTCTTCTCAGACAAGTGTATACGAAAGAGATCCTCCACTGGCCGATAATTCTGAGCATCTGAAATGTTTCTGAATGGGAAGAGTAATATTTAAAGGGATAACAGTTAGTCAACAATTGTACAAATCACTAAGATTTAAACGCAACATCTGAGTTACAGTATTTAAAATGAGTTGTTTAACCTACTGGACACATTTGTAAAATGTACTCACAAAGCTATCAGTTCCAAGACAATCAGTCTGTCTTTTGAGAACGTGAAGCAGTTCAAGATATTTGCGACTTCTGTTGTGGGGATTGCAACCATTTTCTAAAGGCAACAGATTAGAAAGCATATTTGAGGAACAAAGAGGTTTCAACTTAACTTAAACAAACACATTTTCTAAGATCATAGTATTTGCTGCACTTGTTTATATTAATCACAGATACATCTGTGATACAGATTACAAACAATTATGAAAGTGTATAAAAATACCATAGTTTGACTATTGCTACAGTTCAATTCTGTGACCAGCTATTTATGTAAATATTACTTTGACACATACCACCCACGCTGCTGCAGACTAAGCACACCCCCCTATGTCAATGGCTCTCCACAACGACAGGGGCATCCCCCAGTAGGACAATGCACCATTAAACCCCGAAAAACAAATGCTCAGGAACAACTCGAAGAGCATGACAAAGATTTGCTGACATTGACCTGGCCTTCAAACTTCCATGATCCCAAACGAACATCAGAAAGATTTGTAGGAACAACCCTGATCCACAGAGGCCCCACCCCGAAACCATCAGGACCCAACAAATCCGCTGTCCCTGTACACAACAGGAAACCCCCAGAGGTCCCGTGTCCATGTCCCTAAGGTTCAGAGCCATTTTGCTGGTGGAAGGTTGACCTACACAATATTAGGCAGGTAGTCTTAATATTTCTTTAACGTTGTAGTTGATTATCTCACACAATATAAATAGAGAAAATAAAACTGGGGCCCCAATCGAACAAATAAATAAAAATAAATCAGTGGTTTACTTACATGCTGCAGAGCTTTAACAGCTTTGATCTGTGGTTCAGCCCATGAGAAATACTTCAATATTTCCATCACCTGTGGATTTTTCAGGATAGTATTAGTGCAGAAGCATTAAAAAAGTGTTTATGTGTGTGTTTATGTGTGTGTGTGTGTGTGTGTGTGTGTTTATTCTGAAATATGAGTTCTTTGCAATCATCCTCTTTTTTAATAAATAATCATGCAATTCATCTTCTAACAACTGTAAACAAACGATCATGCAACACGGGTTATACAGTAAGTAATCTATAATTCGAGGTATCGTTTTGCTTTGTGATTGATTAATCAAGTCTTAATTAATCTAATCTTTTATCACATGAGAATAGCTGGGGCTATTAAATATGGAGGAAGCATGTAAAACATTTACCTGTTTACTGGAGAAATAGCCATGCACCTGCTCAATGGCTCTGATGCGCTGATCGGTCAAGACGCACTAGGGAAACAGGATGAGAGAGCAAGCTAGAAGCGTAAACGATTCCAAAATAAATAAGATATTTTGACATTAGCCGCGTCTTACCTTTCTTATCTCATCCAATACAATGTCAAATGATTTCTTATCCATGTTTGTTGACTTAAACAAACGCTAGACTCTTTAACAATGAATACTACCAAAAAGCTAAACTTAAATAAACAGACTGATTATGATACAGCAGATTAAGTCAAATAATGTCAAATTCATTCAGATGACTTTTATTTTAATGACCAAAGTTACTCACTTATACTATTAATTCGTCGAAATTTAAAGCAATAAATATTCGCAGCATACTACTTAAAAATTGCATGATCGTTACATACAATACAACAATGACTTCCAAAGAAGAGGAGCAGTCTGCAGAGCAGAACCCGTCTGTACCAGATTTGCCCGCAGCTAACAACAAGCTAGCGGGCTACAGCTAACTCGTCTCGGAGGACAGCGCGACTAGAGAAACAACTAGACACCCCGAAACAAATATTTGCACGTGTTTTCATTCAATCATCGTTACATTTTTTGATGATCTATTAAATAGGAGTGAAAAAATGTCAGAATATATATTTTAAAATCTCAAATTAACCCGGGAAGATACCAGTCCTGCTAGCTCCTGACAGCTGGCGCTGTGAACGTCAACACTGAAAGGACCCCTTAGAGGTAGCTAGTTAAAAAATACAGCGTGTAGCAAAAGTGTTAGAGAAAAAATATCAAAGCCACAGTTAACTGGGGTAACATCACCAATGAAGAGAGTTAATGTATAAACAATATGTTTGTGAGTTCAGTTGACTTTAGCTTATATTATAATATCTATTTTGGTTTTTATCGCAGGCGAATTTTGAACAGCATACAGGAAGAAAACATAAGATGAGTCTTAGCGGAGAAGAAGTGAAGTGCGACCTGAATTGTTCTTGTTTTTCTTAAAAATGGACCGGTTTTCGTGGTCAAATGGGCTCCTAGAAATAAACGAAACTTTAGTGATCCAGCAGCGAGGTGTCAGACTGTATGACGGTGATGATAAGGTATCGTTTTGCTTTGTTATTTAACAGCCTGGTACAACAACGCGGTGGCTAAAACTTACACCATATTACTGTTACAAAAACCATATACGTCAGATGCTGATGAAGAGTTGTTGCTTTATGTGGTTGCATGTGTACCGTGGGGAGTGTTTGTAACTCGGAAAGCTGCGCAAGTAAGTAACGTCAAGTCTTTCGTGTCATTGTACAGGCTAAGATGGATCTCGGAATTACCTTGCTGAGCACCCATCGTTTAATCTGGAGGGATATCAAAAATCATGTAAGGGAGCATTAAACACACCCTAACTACCCAACTTGTGTGCCAGCTGGTGCCTATTGCTGATATGATGGCTCCTTTTGCCTTTGCTGTCTCCAGGAATGCTGCATCGCCATGCCCCTGTCACAGATCATCTTCTTTGAGGAGCAGGCTGCAGGAATAGGAAAGAGGTAAACACTGCTGAATATTTTTTTTTAATTATTTTTTTATTCAGCACACTACAATGGTCAACAAAGACAGTTAAAAATTATCAGGAATGCACTTAAATCATTGTGAATATCAGTCCTAATGTTTACTGATTCAATAGTCTATCTGTTGCATCATGTCGATTTTGTACATAAATAGTGTGATAAAGAGCAAAAAGGTCTAAATTATTTAGGATAGACAACTGCCAAATTATTATAAATAGCATCTGTGTTGCCCCTTACTGATTCAGTAAAAGGACTAGATGTTACAATCCCTGATAATGCATTGCTTTAAATGGAGAGAATCTTGAGGGATGGCTGTTATTAGGAAAGGCAGCCCAGAAACTTTACCAGCGGCACACATCTAGTGTGCCTCAACTTTTGGTCTTATCCACCGGCTAATCTGCCACTTTTTTTCTTCGTTGGTTTGGTTTAGAAATTAGAGATCTGATCTATCTTATCATATTAAAATTTGGGACACATCGTCAGTAGTAGACTTTGGATTCATCAGGCGTTTCGGCCATTATCACTAGACACCCTCATCCAAGGAAGCCCTGCCAGGGTTGATCAGGCCAAAGAGTCTGTCACTGGTTTATGTTAAAATTGTTATTTCTCTTCTTCTTTCTGCTGTTTAGTTTTCTACAGTTTATTTTTCCGTCTACTCACTGCAACTGAGAAATAATACGTACCTCTTTAACATTTATGGAGCCTCACTTCTTCAAAGGGATAGAGAGAAGTAAGACAAAAGGGACAAGATAGGAGAGCTAACTAGGCTGCATTGCTACTAAATATGTAGTGAAAATAAAGATCAAAACATGATGATCTCACTAGTTGTACTTTGAAAGAGGCGAGCATCACTCTTACATCATGAGATGTGGTAACAGCTACAGAATAAAAAAGTATGGGGAGAGTAAACTAATAAATTGGTGGGGACTCCCTTCAAGAAACTTAAAGACGACCAGAAGCTTTTCTTTCCAAGCTCCTTAGACTACAATGACCTGGATGACTGAGAACCTTCACAGACAACATATAAATACACTAACTTAAATTTAGTACAAAAGAATATGTATCTCCTAACTACTGGTCTTTCCTATTCTTAAGTGCAAAAATAGTTATCCACCTGCATCCAGTACCTGCCAACAAGGAGCCAGGTCCATACCAATACAGCAAGTACTCTTACATCAAGCTATCCTTTAAGGAACATGGGCAGATTGAGGTAGTGATTCAACTTCCTCCATTCCATTTTCACTTTTTGTACTGCTTTTTTTTTTTTTTTTTATGATGATTTGGAATTGACATGGCTTTGTTTTGTTGGTTTTCCTTGCAGTTTTACAGGAGGCTCACTGAAGAGATGACCAAGAAAAGGTGGGAGAATACACCAGTTTCACAGCCCATTCCCACAGGAACTGGATCTCAGGTTAGAAACAAAAGAGCACACCGTGTTTCCTCACTGATAACCATCTGTCCTTTGTGCTCTGTTATGTTTATGGGGATTTTTAGGTGTAGGTGGGACATTGTTTTCACTCACCAGCGTATAAACGCAACTTCCATGTACCGTAACAGTTCAGTATATGATAAAATGAAGGTTGGAGTCACTGTCAGTGTAAGATATGTTCCACATGATGGCAGCGTAGGCACTTAATTCTTGTACCTTTCAGTTTTTAACAATTAGTAAGAATTACTGCCTGACATTTGGATTTTTCCAATGTTTTTTTTAAGTATCTATATGCATCAAATTAGATTTAGTGTTTCACAGAAATTGGTGCAAGAAGTCATTCCACTTGCATTAGGTCATGTGTCTCCAAAAAGTACATTACTTAATTTTTTGTTAAACAGGATAATGGCCAGTAAAATTCACTTATGTACCATAACAACAGCTGACCACAAAGAGTTCCCTCCTGGATTTCTTTTGTTTGTTTTTGTCTTTCCTTGTCCTTTGAGACATGTTGCTGGTGTTTAACTTGATTGTGTGTTTTTTCTTTTCCTTTGTGGTCACGTAGGCAGGAAAGACACGTGCAGTGGGGATTGTTGGCATTGAGAGGAAGATCGAGGAGAAGAGGAAAGAAACAGACAAAAACATTTCTGAGGTAATGGGGAAAAATAAAGAGTGAGAAATGGGCCAGAACTGGAATTATGGTATACTCTCTCTGATGCAGAGTTATGTATAAAATCCATCGCCATCTCCTTGAAACCCTTAGCTGAGGTCTTGTATTTAACCAAAGTCATTTTGACTAAATTAACTGTAAATATATTTTAAAATAAATGTGGTTTGGATTTGGACTTTTTTTTTTT